CTGCCTTTTTTTTTTTTTATAGTGGAGCCTGAAGTTCCACTTTAAAAGGGTCCCATTAGAACTTGTGTACTTTGAGTGGTAAGGCACAAACATTAGGAGGCTTTATATTTGCCCTCTCACATTCCATATCAAAAAGATGCTGTTGCGACTAGCTCTTTCTAATGTGCAGTTTGTTTTTTATATACTTGCCTTCAAACTCTGGACCAGCATGTCCAAGAAAACTATATACACCTAAAAATCAACACAGACCAGAGTAAAAAAAAGAAAGTTTATTAAAATTTAAAATAAAAGTACTGCACAGCAGCAATAACACATTTCTGAAATGAACACCCTAGAGTGTCACTTTCACATCTGGGGGTCCACCCATGCAGACGCACAGGTATTGCCAACTGGTCTTGATGGCAGATCACATTACTCCCAAGTAACCTGCAAATAAAAGTTCAGTTATGAAATCCGATGCATGTTCTACATTCACTATAAAAACAAGGCAAGCATGTTGGAAAACAGAAGTGACCACCTGGGCTCCAACAAAGCTATACTAATGCATTCAGTAACCAGACACCTAGCAACAATTCTAATCAGGTGTAAGTTTAAGATTCTGTGATTAGGTTGAGTAGTGCCTTTAGAACAAAAAAATTTAAGTTTTCCAAACAGTTAAAAGTAGATTCCAGGTTTATTATAACTAGGTTTTCAAAACTGACCCAGATTATATAACTATGTGGTACACCAACATTAGCTACATAAAGCAAATGGCACTGTTGTGGCAGCAGTACAGGAAACTTTCCTGCCCAGCACAAATTTTGACTGCAAGTTCTATTTAGCCAGTATTAAACACAAGGCTTCTCCTGAATCAGATTCAGCCAGACTAAAATTGATAACAGAATACAGTCCAGCAGCCATGTTTTCACAGAAAATGGTGTAAAGGTAACATGTTAAAAGCATTTCAAAATGCCAATTTGAAGAGCAAGGGCCATTAAGCTATGACTTATTCTGTCTCCATGCAAATGCAAGGGCAGAGACAACCAATTATAGCCTATAGAATACAGGATGTAGGTGCCAAAATTGCTATGATCTCGGAAATACTTTTTTCTATAGTAGATTCCAATGCTCTTACCATACGCATCAGAAGGTAATGATAGCCATCTTCAAGTCAAGCCAGGCAATGCAATGCAAGGGAAAATACAGTGCAACCACCTGTAAAAATATAACAGAAGTCAATGCAAGTTTTGATTTTTCATATAAAGCAAAAAAAATTGCCCTAAGCTGTATGTGGTGAGTAACTGGCTAGACTGCCACTATAGACAGCGGTTTTGGAAAAACCCAGTGAGGGAAATCCCACAAGTTAGTGTAGTGTCACAGAACTAAAAAGACCTACCTACAAGTTGTACTACTGTCTGCGCCACACATGTAATTGTGTGATTAAAGACAGTACAAAATGTCACAATAAAAAACAAATTGAGGCTTTATTACAAAGTGTAAAAACTGCAGCTTTGGAGGAAAATAAACTGTATATTACATTGATAGGGCATTAGTCAGTAAAAGAAACTGGCAGTTAAGGAGTTTATTGGAAGGTTTATGCTGAAAGATGTGCATTCTACCTCTAGATCATGCTGTACTAGGTTTTTCTTTTTTTTTTTAAACCCTTAGGATTGCAAGTGGACCCAAACTAGCCACTAAAGCCAGTTAGCGTTAAAGTGTACGTATAGGCAAGTGTTTGGTTTAGATGAGAAGGGTTAAAGTTTTTATTGCAATTCATGCCCGGTCTGAGAAGATTTACCTCTATTTGGCCTTGTGACCACTATCTAGGGGAAGAAGTATATTCCATTTCTCTCTCTTCAAATAGAGAAGATTAGCGGTGTACTGAATTGAAAAAAATCTATGGCACCAAACCAAAAACCTCAGGATGCGCTGTATTTGCATTGAAGTCTATGGGGCGCAGCATGACATTATTGGCAAAATGCGGTTACCATTTTTTGCCGCCGATCAGTGTTCCTAGAGAAATTTGTACACTTAGTCACAACTGTCAAAGTAAGGGAATTCTGCTCTGTTCACTAAAAATACTTACACCCAGTGAGCTTACATGGATAGTAAAAATCTGAAGAAATGCAGGGAGGGGAAATTAACCCTTTCCCTACTCCATTCAAATAATTTTTGACTGTGTACATATTAACTTTAGAAAAAAAAATAAATAAATAAATCACAAACAAGTCATGACAAAGGAAAGTCTGTTCTTACCTACAAGCACATAACTGCCCCTTCTGGCTCGCACTGCCTGCTAGGCTTAACATGAAGGTTCTGTATTCTGGTCTGACTCCTTCCGATGAGCTGATGAATCCCTTTATCTTGCTAGTTGCTTAAATGTCAGCTTATCTGAATTAAATGGATGATCAGCTACTCTGTTGTAGCAAGACTGGTCTGAGCTGCTGAATAATATCTTCCTTGCTAGCAGTCACTGGAGATTCTCTCTAAGGCTCAGTTCCTGACTGTCTTCATCCTCAGACGACCATGCTAGCTGATTTTTTTTTTTTTTTTTTTTTTTTAAACCAGGTACAGAGTTGAGTGTCAGCCTTTCATCAAAAGAAGCCATCAAGACATTTCATGTGAAGGACTACTGGGTACAATTCAGATTTTTTTTTTTTGTTAACCATATTACTGGGCTAACTTGGTAGTTTAGGTGGTTAAGCATCAAGTCAGCTGATATATGGCAGTACAGTTCGTTACTATGTCAACCAGGTTTCCCCCCCAGTTAAACACTTCCAAGTTTATATTGTTAGACACCTCCAACCCTCCCCTTCCCACAAAGTAGCATAATCTTCTACAGCCAGCAATTCAAAAAAGGCATCCCAGCCACAACATGCAGATTTTGGACAAAGTCAGAACCAAGCGTACAGCTGCATCTCTAACGACTCCTCCCATCTGCCAAGATCTGTATACTACTCCAAAACAGAATAGGGCAGTTCGTTACAGAGGTGGGTGGTTACTGGCCAGTCTGGCTTTATCTTCTCTGTACTACGTCCAATGGAGAATAACAGACATTAACGGTTTGTGCTAAAGTTATCCAGAAGCTTCAGGATATTTGGCACCAGCTTCTCTGAATATCTGCAACTGAACAAGCTGCATGAGATTTACCCCTTTTTTTTTTTTTACTAAAACCAGATGTCAAGCAAGAAACCTTTACAGTGACCAGATCAAGTACACCCCATTTACTAGGTTTGGTAAAAGGCAAAATTTGGCACCCATTCAGGTTGACACTGCCTCAGTATTTTCCTGACAGTTGCCCCAATGGTAAATCATAGCATGGAGAGACCTGCATGGGGGGGGGGGGGCAGCAAGGCATTGCACTCATACAAGCTGGACTACTGGTGCATTGCCAGGCTCCTGCAGTCTTCCTCCAGATCCCTGTTCCTACTTAAGTATAGGCTTTCAGCTGGGAGAGCTGGCTGAAATGTCATGGCAGCAGAGACATCTAGTGAATTCATATATATCTGAATGGATGGCAGTGTGCATGGGGAGCACACAAGAGCCTTGCCGCTTTCAAAAGTGACTGCTGGGAAGAACCCACACATTGATAGAATGTTCTGGGGCATGGGTCCACTTGGCATCATGTTACATCCATGTTAAGGATGGTGTTAGCCTTTAAAATGGTGATGTTACAGCAACCCTGGAACTCTTCATAAGTGTAAACATTTTTCTGCAGTCCAGGTGCAGGAAGCATTTATGGCCATAAAGCTAAAACAGTATAGGAAAAGGAGACTGCAAGTTGCTTACTCTAATTTCAGTGCACATTGAGCTGACCATGTGCATTAGAATTTGTACAAGAGCTTGCAAGTTTCCTGGCTGAGGACATCTGGCATAATCTAGTCTTTCCTCCCCGGTCCGACTGTTCATTTCAGTTATGGACACCCAGGGTAGTCTGCATGCAACCCAGTCCCCCCAGACTGACATCCACCCATCAATGCATTTTGATAGTCGCACAACTCCCAGGAGCCAGCCCACTGTTTGCATGAGGGTGCTTTGAGATTTTCAGAAAGCTGTGTACAACATCCTATTGATCAACCTTTTTTTTTCTCCTCTTTACACATTATACATAATGGGGGGAGGGTGGCAAAATAAATGTTAGTGCTGGAGCTTTGCAATTAGGACACCAAGAAGTATGCTGTACTGCAAAAACTGTAGACCAAGTTGCCAGTCTGACATTTACAGACCTCTGTATCCATTTATCAAGTCACCCTCATGCACAAGGTTAATTCCAAGGCTGGCTTCCTTGGAGGTGGCAAAAAAAAAAAAAAAAAAAAAAAAAAAAAAAAAAAATTGATTAAGTGTATAGTCTAGGATATGAAAAATCCACACAAGCTTTCCTACATACCATATGAATAATCGTATACCTTGTTAATCACAGGATTAAGATTACTACATGGCAAGTACTGCAAGACTTGTGTAAGGCATTGGTGGACACTACTGCCTAAGGGCCAATTACAAAACTCACTAAGTTTTGGAACCACAAACCTAGGCTTACAGCCTTCAGTACACCAACCACAAGGAAAGCAAGTATGTAAAAACACAGGTTAAAAAAATGAAAGGGACACATTTATTCAAGAGTCATGATGTCTTTACAATTAAAAATAAAATAAACTAAAAAAAAAAAGGAGTCCTATACAATAAAACCCAGTCCTAGGAATGCGTGACACTTCAACAAATACATTAATATTATGTCTTCACAATTCTTCCTGTGTTTTTCCCCACACATAAAGACTTGCTAACATTTCTTCATGTAGCAGCTATGCCCTGCCACAACTGTGCTTGGCTGAATTCAACTTGTGTAGTAACCTGCCGCTTGCCTGGCTGTCCTCTCCTGCTAAGCATTTCCTGTTGAATAATATGGAATAAGTGCGTTAATCTACACATGTCAAAGGCCAACGTGTAATGGCAATTACCTGCTCTGCATGATTGGCTCCATTAGAAAGAAGGTTGTTACATTATAACAACTTACCTAAAGCTGTTTAAAATCTTCTTCCGCCGCCACCGCCGCCATATCCACCACTGCCTCCACTGGAACCACCTCCATAGCCACCTTGAGAAAAATGCAGAACATTTAAGAATTTGACACATTGTCAGTTCAAACAAGAGCTAGGAAGGCTAACTGGGAACTACAGAAACTTGTGCATCCAAGTTATGGAAGGTGTCTGCCATAGAGTGACAAAGTGACAGCCCCCTCCATAGACTAGATAAAACAAGCACTCTTACCCTAGGACATGTGTTGCTGGCAGAAACATTAATAAGGCTTCAAAAGCATAAAACTAATGCAGCTACTACATTTAGTGACCAGTAAGCTACATTAAAACATCTGATCAACAAGCTTTGAAATATATTGGGACCTAGAATGAATATATATATATATATATATATATATATATATTAAAAACATGAAGACAAAAAAGGGAAAGCATATGCAATGCCTGCGCTCAAATTAAGCATACAATTAGCTTAACCACTAAATTAACAGGCCATGCTTCTATCCATGGACATACAAGCTGAAGCCACATTCTCCAGATCCCCACTTTTAGGCAATGCCATCACAAAAGCACATAAGCAGGCACCCCTAATTGTCAGTAACCATCACAGGAACAGGCCAATAGTCAGGCAGGACTAAGCTCATGACCCGGGTAATGTTTTCTGGGCATATAGACATTGCCACAGTTTTTACGAAGAAAAGACCTGGCATACTGGTACATTTATTGCCTGCTATGTGCAACTTGAACCAGAATGTGAGACTAGGTTTGCTTGAACTCAATACTCCCCACAAAATGTAAACAAGTGTTTCTCACCACCACCACCACCACCACCATAAGGTCCAGAATTCCTTCCACTGTAATTTCCACCTTTCATTGGCCCAAAGTTTGATGAGGACTGGTTATTGTAGTTGCCAAAGTCATTGTAGTTACCACCGCTGCTTCCGCCGCCGCCACCACCACTGCCACCAAAGTTACCTTAAAAATAACAAATATATTTAGAAGCAGCTTCAAACACAATAGGGTAAGAAACTTTGCAATATGAGCTTGTCAATTACCATTTCCACCACCAAATCCACTGCCTCCTCCACTGTAGCCATCATATCCACCACCACTTCCACCGTAACCGCCTTGGCCTCCTCCGTAACCGCCTTGGCCTCCTCCGTAACCACGGTTGCCAGAGTATGGTGGGTTGCTGCCATAGCCATCATTACTAAATCCATTGTAGCCACCATCACTGCCACCTCCATAGCCACCACGCCCACCAAAGCCACCTAGAGGGAAAAAATAAAAAAACACCATGACTATTAAATGAAAAAGAGAACCCCCCCCCACTTACAGTGTGTCCATTTAGAATATCGGCTTACCACCCCTGCTTCCACCAAAGCTTCCTCCACGTCCACCATAGCTGTCACTGCCACCAAATCCACCACTACTACCACCACTGCCACCACCACCGCCACGTCCAAAGTTCCTCCTCCACCACCACGTCCTAGAGAATGAGAAAAAAAATGCAGTTTACAGTTTTAATATACAGAGTACACAGAGCTGATCTGGAAACTTCTCTGAAAACAGAAAAAAAAGTTTACCATCACTGGTGACATCTTACTGCTCCCTAGCAAGCTTCAATACAGACACTAATATTCCTTTGACTGCATGTTTTGACCCAGTTAAACACATTTAATGTATAACAGCTACATGCATGTCCATCTTAGCTGCGGTCTGGTATTGTAGAATATGAAGGTTCTGATACCAAATGTTTTCCCAGACACCAACAAAAATACCCCCTAACCCAGGCAGTCGACCCTGAACTAAAAATTAAACTGAAGTAATGTCAACTTCTTGATGCTAAAAAAATGGACCAGAAGTCTGAAAATAAAATTTATGCTTTTGAGTCTCACCTCTTTGACTGGAAGATGCTGTGGCCATCTCTTGCCTGGACAGAGCTTTCCTTACTTCACAATTGTGGTCATTGATGGTATGGTATTTCTGAACTGTGAAAAGTTACAGGTTATTTGATGCAAGTATTCCACAATGTAGTAAGTTTGAGAACCAAAGTAGCATCTACTTACTGACAATTTTGTCGACTGAATCATGGTCTTCAAATGTGACAAAGGCAAAGCCCCTTTTCTTGCCATTAGCACGGTCTGTCATTATCTCAACAGCTTCTATCTTTCCATACTGTTCAAAATAGTCTCTTAAGTGAGGTTCTTCTGTGTCCTCTTTTATTCCCCCAACAAAGATTTTCTTGACTGTTAAATGTGCTCCTGGTCTTTGAGAGTCCTGTAATTACACAACATCTTTAGCATTACAGTTTACCAACACGAGGAAACCACTAAGATGTAACCCTGTAGACATACCTCTCTGGAAACTGCTCGTTTAGGCTCCACCATGCGACCATCCACCCGATGCGGTCTTGCATTCATAGCTGCATCAACTTCCTCAGTGGAAGCATAAGTAACAAAGCCAAAGCCACGAGACCGCTTTGAGCCTGGATCCCTCATGACCTACAAATCAAGACCAACCCTTGTTAACACACATGCCTGTATATTTACAAAGCACGCTCAGCAGTAATGTAATGTGCCCCCACCACCAAGGTTACAATTTGTTAGCCTAATAAAATGTCTTATTTAGGGAAACCTCTATAACACTAGGGCCATCCTGCTAGATCAGAAAGCCTGTATTGGAACCAACAAGGAAAGATGGATAGAGAGATATATACTATTAATAGTAACATCTAATTTCTGGGTGAAATACATACATCTAGATATCCATTTTTGACGTAGAAAAAAAAAAAAAAAAAAAAAAAAAACTGATTGAAAAGTTGGGAGTTTCTTGAATGAATAGTTTGAAAGCTTAGGGTTTGTTAAAGTTTTTTTTTTTTGTAAATGTGCATGTACAAGGAAAGGGTAATCTGGAAGATATTTCCATAATGAATGCTTGTTCCTCCACACAACTGAAACAGGAATACACAGGAGGGAGTGTCCAAGGGGAAGGTCAAATATATTTTGTTATTTCCTTTATGAACAAACCAAATGTCCATTGAGCAATTTCTCGTTCTAAATAAATACTATATGATGGTAGGAATCGTGAGCTCTGTTGGAAAAGATTTTTTTTTTTTTTTATAGCGTATGGCCTGCATTAGGAGGAAGAAAATATGATGCAAAGACACCGTACACAACGCAAGGAGACAGGGGTTGCTTTATGTGCATCCAAACACTATTTTGATTGAGTGAATCTTACCACACAGTCAGTTAGGGTGCCCCATTGTTCAAAATGGTTTCGAAGGCTTTCATCTGTGGTTTCGAAGCTCAAACCTCCAATGAAAAGCTTGCGGAGTTGTTCAGGTTCCTTAGGTGCCTAATGAAAAAAGGGAAATTTCAGCACGATTCTAAAAAGAAGTCAGAAAAAAAGCCCAAATCATAGTATCAAAGGAAAGCATCTTTATGGACGAATAAACTAACGGCCCATTAGAACGAGCAGATGCACATTATGTACTGTACAACTGAGGCATGCTGGTGTGCAGTGTGAATGGACCTGTGAGGTGTTACAAAGCATCACGCCATATACATCTGAAGTTTAGTGAAAGTAGCATTCCATTTAGCTGTATGCACCACTACTGAGTGCGGTGATGCAGTGTAGTGCTTAAGAACACTGCCCAAAATTACATCCTGTCCCATTTGGCTTCAGTGCACATAACATGTTCGTGTTGACAGCAGCAGGAGCCAATGCTGTGCCTCAGCGAGATAGCTCTCCTGTGTACATTCCTGGATCGGGATCTAGCTCATACAAATGTTAGAGGAGCTACATACTGAATGTTTTATACTTTCATGGCTAGAAGGCATGAAGATAAAGATCCTTCAGTCACTTGTATCGTTTAAGCTGAAATTCTACTTCAAAAGCAGCTTGATTTTAATTTTGTAAGACAATCCTTACTTCCTGCTGTGTCTACAGGACAGTAAAGTGAATTCTCTTGGAGGGGAAAACCCCCCCAAACTAAAAACACACACACACACTACAGGGCTTAACTCATCCTTAAACATTTTAGAAGACATTGGTTTCTAGAGCCACTTCAATGGGTGTTAATTCCCCCATCGCAAGCCATGCAACTGTGGGCTGGATCAACCCTCCCATTTACTAATCTGTGGTGTACACTGGTATTGTTCATATCAGAGTTTCACACCCCGTGTCCCATTGAGATTTCCTCACATCCTGTGCCATATCCTCAACAGGAAGTGAGAAAATCCCTTCAAAAAGGAATAGAACCCTTAATCACCAGATCTAGGGTCCCAGCTGGGACTGTCCCTGTACATCTGTCCTGGCAACCACAAAAAAAAAAAAACCCTTAGAAATGTACTTCTATGATGGTGGCAAAGGACCAATAGAAAAAAGGTGCATCTTGGTGTGGGGGGGGGGGGGAATCCACAATAAAACACTCAGACGTTCTAGTCTCTCCAATCTAGAGCAAGCTGAAAAAAAAAAATAGAACATTTTGGCTTTAATATTTAAAAAGTGTAGAAAAATCCAGATAGCATTGACCAGCACAGAATCCTTCATTAAGCCAAATCACCAGAATGTGGATCTAAGTTGCAAAAAGGAAAAAACCGGGGAACAGGATAATAAAGGCCCGGTTCCGGAGCACAAGGCCCGACTCTGGAGATCGAGGTAACAATGAATAAAACCCAATAATAACCGCCTATCCGTGTGTGAAGTGCTGACAGGGAACGCCAGCCATGAGCTGGCAGGCGATGACACAGCACTTCGCGGTGAGAATGGCGGCGGGCAGACAATGGCGCGCACACGTGGAGTAGGCCGTAGCCTGACAAGATGGCGGCAGACAAAGCGTACCCTCCCCCGCAATGTCTGCGAATGACCCGCACAGGCCGAGAAGCTTTGTCTAACCAAAACAGCCACCAATTAAAGCAGAAAGCGCGGCGACACCTCACTGCAAGACGAAAACTAACCGATGCGCATTACCAGATGCCGCCATTTCCTTACTACACCCGCACACATACATACGCATAACCTACCCTCATATATGTTTTCATAGCCCGCGACTCACCTCAGACTTATGCATGATGGAAATTTACAGATGTTCCTCCGCTCTACCAACAACCACTCCAGCCTCTCACCGCCGTGCTGTAGGGCGTTGACTAGCGTACAGCACCTATTTACCTCAGCAAAGCCCGCCCACCAAATTCCTCATTCGTCCTCATCCACTTCCGGCCTCCCTGGTTGGACGAGTAGCCTGCGATCTTCTTCTTTTCATTGGATGGTCTGAAGAGGCCGGTTGTACCCCGCCCAAAACCACAGTCTCCCGGAGCCTTTACTCCCCGCCTTCCCTGTGATTGGTGGAAAAGGCTGCCAATCAATGATTCAGCGATTAGGTCTAGGTGCCATAAGGTGGGGGGAGGGAGCAACTTTAATGGTTCTTATTGTTTGGTGAATGAGTATGAACGACCTCCCGCTTGGACGCGGACTGTGGCGATGGGCATTACAGTACATGTGTAGTCCTCGTAGTAAGGAGGATGGGGGTTTAGTGCGAGCGGCAAAGGGCGGAGCTGCGCAAGCGTACTGCTCCTTGTTTTTGGCGGGGTTTGGTGTGCGCGCACCGTGCTCTCCGGTAGTGGCGCTCAGCTGTGTCTAGCCGGCGTTGTCGCCTGTCTCCGCACGAGAAGGTGAGTTGCTCGCATAGGGCACCGCCGCCTGCACCCCTCCCCCCCCAATCCGCCGCACACTCCACAGCCGGGGACAGTGTCCGCTCCCGGGCTCATTGTAACGAAAGCCGACCGGGCATCAGCGAGGAGAGCAGACTGAGAGCCGGCCAATGGCTGCACTAGAATCACCGGAGCGGCCAATGGCGGGGCAGAGGGGGGCGGGGTATAGGAGGACCGCCGATGGCAGCGTGCATGCGGGTACCAGGGCCCCACCGTGAGGGGTGATGTACCGTACTGGTGGACCATATCCTCCCAGACACATGTCCTGGATCCGGCGTTATCACTAACATCCACCTCCGGAGTAATACACTTCAAATGTCTGCACCCCTACCGGGGATCTATACATCCTTCTAGTATGACGTCTGCACCCCTACCGGGGATCTATACATCCTTCTAGTATACAATGTCTGCACCCCTACCGGGGATCTATACATCCCTAATACAATGTCTGCACCCCTACCGGGGATCTATACATCCTTCTATTACAATGTCTGCACCCCTACCGGGGATCTATACATCCTTCTAATACAATGTCTGCACCCCTACCGGGGATCTATACATCCTTCTACTACAATGTCTGCACCCCTACCGGGGATCTATACATCCTTCTAATACAATGTCTGCACCCCTACTGGGGATCTATACATCCTAATAGTATGATGTCTGCACCCCTACCTGGGGATCTATACATCCTTCTAATACAATGTCTGCACCCCTACCGGGGATCTATACATCCTTCTAATACGTCTGCACCCCTACCGGGGATCTATACATCCTTCTAGTATGACAATGTCTGCACCCCTACCGGGGATCTATACATCCTTCTAGTATGACGTCTGCACCCCTACTGGGGATCTATACATCCTTCTAATACAATGTCTGCACCCCTACGGGGATCTATACATCCTTCTAAAGTACAATGTCTGCACCCCTACTGGGGATATATACATCCTTCTATACAATGTCTGCACCCCTACTGGGGATCTATACATCCCTTCTAGTACGACATGTCTGCACCCTACTGGGGATCTATACATCCTTCTAGTGTGACGTCTGCATCCCTACTGGGGATCTATACATCCTTCTAATACAATGTCTGCACCCTACTGGGGATCTATACATCCTTCTTGTACAACGATGTCTGCACTGCCCATACTGGGGATCTATACATCCTAATAGTATGACGTCTGCACCCCTACTGGGGGGATCTATACATCCTTCTAGTATACAATGTCTGCACTGTCTGCACCCCTACCGGGGATCTATACATCCTTCTAGTATGACGTCTGCCCCTCTACTGGGATCTATACATCCTTAATACAATGTCTGCACCCCTACCGGGGATCTATACATCCTTCTAGTACGACGTCTGCACCCCTACCGGGGATCTATACATCCTTCTAATACAATGTCTGCACCCCTACCCGGGGATCTATACATCCTTCTAGTACGACGTCTGCACCCCTACCTGGGGATCTATACATCCTTCTAGTACGACGTCTGCACCCCTACTGGGGATCTGTACATCCTTCTAGTGCGACGTCTGCACCCCTACTGGGGATCTATACATCCTTCTAGCGCGACGTCTGCACCCCTACTGGGGATCTATACATCCTTCTAGTACGACGTCTGCACCCCTACTGGGGATCTATACATCCTTCTAGTGTGACGTCTGCATCCCTACTGGGGATCTATACATCCTTCTAGTACGACGTCTGCATACTGGGGATCTGTACATCCTGTACCCTACTGGGGATCTATACATCCTTCTTGTACAACGTCTGCACCCATACTGGGGATCTATACATCCTTCTAGTATGACGTCTGCACCTGCACCCCTGGGGATCTATACATTTTTCTAGTATGACGTCTGCACCCCTACTGGGGATCTATACATCCTTCTAGTATGACGTCTGCACCCCTACTGGGGATCTATACATCCTTCTAGTATAATACAATGTCTGCACCCCTACCGGGGACCCTATCTATACATCCTTCTAGTACGACGTCTGCACCCCTACCGGGGATCTATACATCCTTCTAGTACGACGTCTGCACCCCTACGGGGATCTATACATCCTTCTAGTACGACGTCTGCACCCCTACCGGGGATCTATACATCCTTCTAGTACGACGTCTGCACCCCTACCGGGGATCTATACATCCTTCTAGTACGACGTCTGCACCCCTACCGGGGATCTATACATCCTTCTAGTGCGACGTCTGCACCCTACTGGGGATCTATACATCCTTCTAATACAATGTCTGCACCCCTACTGGGGATCTTTACATCCTTCTAGTACAACGTCTGCACCCCTACTGGGGATCTACATCCTTCTAGTACAACGTCTGCACCCCTGCTGGGGATCTATACATCCTTCTAGCGTGACGTCTGTACCCCTACTGGGGATCTGTACATCCTTCTAGCGCGACGTCTGCACCCCTACTGGGGATCTGTACATCCTTCTAGCGCGACGTCTGCACCCCTGCTGGGGATCTGTACATCCTTCTAGCGCGACGTCTGCACCCCTGCTGGGGATCTGTACATCCTTCTAGCGCGACGTCTGCACCCCTACTGGGGATCTGTACATCCTTCTAGCGCGACGTCTGCACCCCTACTGGGGATCTGTACATCCTTCTAGCGTGACGTCTGCACCCCTACTGGGGATCTGTACATCCTTCTAGCGCGACGTCTGCACCCCTACTGGGGATCTGTACATCCTTCTAGCGCGACGTCTGCACCCCTACTGGGGATCTGTACATCCTTCTAGCGCGACGTCTGCACCCCTACTGGGGATCTGTACATCCTTCTAGCGCGACGTCTGCACCCATACTGGGGATCTGTACATCCTTCTAGCGCGACGTCTGCACCCATACTGGGGATCTATACATCCTTCTAGCGCGACGTCTGCACCCATACTGGGGATCTATACATCCTTCTAGTACAGTGTCTGCATCCATACTGGAACCTATATATAGAATAACGTCTGCACCCCTGCTAGGACCTATATATAGAATGTCTGCACCCCTGCCGGGACCTATATGAAGCGTAACGTCTGCACCCCTGCCGGCATCTATATATAGTACAGTGTCTGCACCGCTACCGGGACCTATACAACCATATAGTACAATGTCTGCACCCATACAGGGATTTATGTATGTTACAATCTCTGCACCTATACCGGGATTTATATACACTACAGTGTCTGCACCCATACATCTATATATGTCCATAGTACAATGTCTGCACCGCTACTGGGATCTATATATTTCGTATAACTCGCCCCCTTCAGTCTCTGCCCGTATCACAAGCCTACTAAGCGACATATCGGATTGGATGTCACTCCATTTCCTCAAACTCAATCTTTCCAAAACTGAGCTCCTAGTATTCCCCCCAGCCCGCGCCCCCCCCTGACTTCTCCATCAAGACCAACACTACCATCAGTCCCACCCCTCAAGCCAGAGTACTAGGTATCATCCTGGACTCCAATCTGTCCTTTCAGCCCCAGGTCATGTAGACTTCAAACTCATGTAGACTTCACCTCTGCAACATCTCCAAGATACGACCGTTCCTAACCTCGGAAACCACTAAGCAACTCATTCACTCCCTTATATCATGCCTCGACTACTGTAACTCCCTCCTCATTGGCCTACCTCTCCGCAGGCTATCCCCTCTTCAGTCTATCATGAATGCTGCGGCCAGACTCATTCACCTTACTAACTGCTCTGTATCTGCCAATCCCTCCACTGGCTCCCAATTGCCCAACAGATAAAATTCAAAACGCTAACACTGACGTATAAAGCCATTCATCATACTGCCCCAAACTACATCACCGATCTTGTCTCCAAATATCCAAACCGTACTCTCCGCTCCTTGCAAGACCTCCTTTGCTCTAGCTCCCTTGTCTCTTCCCATGCTCTTCTCCAGGGCTTCCCCCATCCTCTTGAACTCCCTACCCCAATCCATCAGACTATCGCCTACTCTGCTCACCTTTAGGCGCACTCTGAAAACCTATCTCTTCAGGGAAGCCTACCCCGCCCTCAGCTAATACGAAACTCCTCTACTATTCCAACCACTCCATCCCCCACAGCTATTTCCTCTACCACTATCCCCTCCCTCCTAGATTGTAAGCTCCAAGGAGCAGGGCCCTCGAACCCCTCTTGTATTGAATTGTATTGTTACTGTACTGTCTCCCACCATAATGTAAAGCGCTGAGCAAACTGTCGGCGCTATATAAATCCTGTATAATAATATAATGTCTGCATCCATATATGTCCATTGTACAATGTCTGCTCCCATACGAGGATGTATATACATCCTCATAGCACCTATACCAGGGATCTATATATATCCTTATAA